CTTTGTGGCTTTTCTGTGGCAGTTGGCAGACTGTCTTTTGAGAACATGGAGTTTGTTTAGTCATGCATTCAGCCAATTCACCTTCCAAAATGAAGATCAGAAAGACATGCTTTATCTGGCTTTTTCCAAGTTCCATACCATACTCTTAAATGTCTGTCTTCACTGACTTAACGCACTGTGTCTGAAGTTCACCCATGTTGTTTTCAGTTTTTGAGTAGTTTATCACATCCAGTTTGTACATTCACAAGTGACTCAGTTTGTACATTTATAAGTGAAGGTGCTTTGATTGTTTCCTATTTTTCAGCTATTGTTAATAAAACTGTAACACTTCTTCAGGGGTATCTGTGTTATTTTCCTTGTAGCTGGGACCAGACACCCGATACCCATAACACAAAGGAGGAGAAATTTATTTGGCTTACAGTCCATTGGATTTCAGTTCTCAGTTGGCTGGTGCCCAGGCAGGGCAGCATGGCAGAGGGGCCTGGTGGAGGAGAGTGCTCACGTCATGGGAGCAGGGAAGCAGGGCACAGCGAGTAACAGGAAGAGATAAACCTTGCAGGCCGTGTCCCCAGTGACCCATCCTTCAACCTGGCCCCACCTCCTAACAACAAGTCAGTCATGAGGCCCTACAGTGCAACTGCCTTCCAAAGGGCCTGCCTATGAGGATACAAGGCTTTGGGGGACAGCTAGATATAAACCTTAACAATCCATCCTGGTGCCTAAAAGACTCACACTTTCCTTACTGTGCTTAATGCATCTCTCTACGAGCTGCAGAAATGCTACTAGTTACAACACTGCTGAAAAGTCCAAGTTCAAAGGCGTCTGAGATTTAAGGTGAGCTCTTAATTATAAGTCCATATAAGCATTAAAAAGAAAGTTAAACACTTACAACATATAATAGCACATGATAAACACTGCCATTCCAACAGGGAAGAAGAGAGGGAAGAAAGAAACTTTTTTTTTTTGGTCTTTTTCGTTTTTATCGGTACCAGGGATCGAACTCATGACTGCCTGCTTGCAAGGCAGGCGCTTATGCCGCTGAGCTACATCCCCAGCCCCATAAGAAAGAAACTTAAAAGACTTAAACTCAGCAGGGTAAACATTAAATCCCTTAATTCTATGTCCAGCACCCAGGGCATAAAGGGGTAAGAGGAACTATAAACAGCTTGGGTGGTCCCACCCCATTGGCACTGCTGGTGGCTGTAGCTCTCATGGCTTTTCTCTTGGGCTGGCTTTACTCACTCCCTGCAGCTTTCCTCAGATGATCCATGTTCTCAGCTTCTCCTACCTTCTGGGGTCTCCACTGCACCTTCGGCTTCACACTGCCCTCTTAGGGACACTGTCTGGCCTCCCCAGGTCTTCTTCTGAAATATGAGTGGAAGCTTTCCTAGAGGCCTTCCAGGATGACTGAGCACTGTGAAAGGAATCTCAGGAAGCCAATTTCCTAGGCAGTAATGAATTTGGGCTTTCTTTTCAAGAAATTTTGATTCTGGAAGGGTCTATCCTGTGACTTACTACAGTTATTTTATTCTACTGTCCTTCTGTAAAGTACTTGGCTTCTTTGTAATGCTAATCTAACAACTAAGCTCTTCTCTGTTCCAGTTTTCTCAGACCCCATTTTTACCAGGGCTTCCTGTCTGGCCAAACTCAAAACATTTTAAATCATTCGGCTGGGTTTTTGGTCTCAATTCTCAGTGTACACCTGTCTAAAAGCCCTCAACATAGCCTCGCCAAGGTGTCAACATTAGACTGCACTGAAGTTTCCTCCACCAGATTAATTAGTCCGCTGCCCTTATTCTTAGACTCCCAAAAAGTCTCAGGATATGATCAAAATGTAGGCAAATTTCCTACCAGAGCATAACACACATGGGCAGGAGTCTAGCTGCCAATGGAGTGCTTCTTTTCCACTAAAACCTCCTGAGCCAAGTCTTTTCCAGCTGCATTACAGTCAGCACTCTGGTCTGGCTCTGGCCAAAATCGCCCATCAAACTGCTCCTGGCAGTCCAGTGCAGCTTATTCAGCTGCCATCCCTAAGCCTTTGCAAACTATGGAAACCATAGCAATAGGTAACTGCTGCCCTGAATTTTGGGAAATCCTGCCTCTATTTACTGTTTTGTCATATTATCTATTCCTGGTTTTGTAAGGTTTTCATGTTTTTTCTATTTGTGGTTCACTGAACTTATTTAATCTGAAGGTTTATAGTCTTAGTAAATTTTTCAAAAATTTAAAAAGCAATCCCATACACGATTTTATATGGGGGTATGGTTTCATTTCTTTTTAATAGATGCTGATGGGTAGAATTACTTACATTTATATTTAACTTTTTAAGAAACTGCCGAAATTTTCCAAAGTAGTTGGCCATTTTTTTAATTCCCACTAGCAAAGTATGAGAGTCTTAGTTTCCACCTATTAGCCAACACTTAGTATTGTGAATCTTCTTTATGATTTTAATGGTATCTCTTTGTGGCTTTCATTTGAATATTCCTAAAAGTTAAAGATACTAAGTATAGTGAAATGCATTTATGTATACTCTGTGTGTCTTCTTTAGTAAAATATGTTGTAGGGGTCATCCTCTTAAGGTCTATCTGAGTCCAACACTTAACATAACACAGATTAACAACAACAAGAAAAGCATAGTATAAGTTTACCATGGGACACCAGCCCCAAAGAAGCAATTAAGAGTCAATTATTTATATACTAAATTGGACATGAAATAATAAGCTGAAAATGTTCCTAAATCATATGAGGAGATTTAAGAGTTATTTCTGTTAATAACTGAACAGAATTCCTCTAGTCTTGACTTTCCTTGTAGATATGGATATTGTCTTTCCTTATAGTGAAAGGAGAATGTCTTGTCCATGAGATTTTCATTTGCTTTTAAGGAAAAGCATGAAGATCAATGATCTTTTTGTAACTGCTATTTCTTAAGTGCGTTTTCCTTAAACAGTCAACATGCCAAAATACCATATTTTAATTCCCTCCATTTGAATACTTTGCCACTTTTAATGGTTTTCAATTTTTGAAAGCACTTTTAATTCCTCAGATACAAATTCTCTATAAATAGATGTATTACAAATATTTTCTAACGATTTGTGACTTGTCTTTTATTTTGATTTATATCATGTGATATGCAAGAGTTTTTTTGTTTTGATGATGCCCAATTTGTCAACTTTTCTTTTATAGTGTTTACTTCCTATATTCTATTTTTGCCTAACTCAATTTCACAAATATTTTCTCCTGTTTTCACCTTGCATTTTTGGTCTTATTTATTTTTTTGTCTAGGACTATAACCCACTCAGAATTCAGAATACATTCGATGTACAGTACAAAGGATTAAGATTTTTTTCTCAGAGATAGTCAGTTATTTTTACTCATTTTATTTAATGATCACCATTTTCTTTCCCCCATTACCTTGGCAAGTTTATAAAAAAAAAATCAGCTGAACACAAGCATATGGGTTTAGCTCTTTTGCAGGATAAGATGGTTAACATTCCCCTAAGGGAGTCGGTACACATACTTAGATTCCCTTTTCCTGTTTTCATCATCATTACTGTAACTGATCTCTAGTTCATGTTTGTTACATATAAATACTGCATTCAAGGTGAACAGCTGGCACATAAACATGATGCAGCATAAATTTTCTTAGGGCCCTTGCTCTTCCCACTTGCCCCACCGATTTCTTGGCCCCCTTCCCTTTGCAAAAGATCTATCACCATGTTTTTTTTTAAATCAATTATTTTTCTCATTATTTGTACTTTGAATTGAATCTCTCACTATGAACTAAATAAACTAAAACCAAAATGGATCAAAGATCTAAATATTAAAATAAAAACATTTAATCCACTAGAAGATAAAGCAGGTAAAACTCTTGAAGTCATTAGTACAGGCAAAGACTTTCTGAACAGAATTCCAATTGCACAAGAAATAGCAATTAAGAACCAACAAGTGGGTTTAGCTCTCAAATTTTACTTTTGTTTTTTTTTTTTCTACTTTTTTTCTTATGCCTAACTGACATATGAAGACATAGGACACTCCTATTTCTTTGTATATCTAGTTAATCTTTGGTTAATAACTAGGCATTTAATGTCATACACTGTAGTGACTCCATAACTTTATTCTTATGAACTTGCTGGTTTTAGTGTTTTACTCATGAATTTGCCAATCCTTAAACTAGAAAATCTATTCCTCTGCCAACTGCTGACATCTTTTTCACATTTTTTTTTCTTTTGTCTGGATGTGTGGGGTTCTCCCTCATACCTACAAGGCTTTATGGTCAGTCAATGATGTGTGAACATAGGTAATACAGAGACAACTGAAGTCAGAGAAGCTTCCACCCTCTGCTGCCCAACCTGTGTATGGGTTGAAGAATTCAGTCAAACTCACAACAAATAAGTGAATCTTCTGGCTTTTAACTTTCCTTATTCTCTTCAGGGCACTCAGCCAAATAGGTTGGTTAGTAGTGCTAGAGTATATCATCTCAGCATTTTATCCACGATAGCAATTTTTCATAAGTGATCCAATGCTTTGCTATTTTTGAAATTATTGCATTTAATAATTTTGTTCAATTTAATTCATTGGGGGAGGGTACGATAAAGAAACCACCCAACTAATTCAGGCAGTCAATTAGTGGAAGTAGAATTATAACCAGTCTTTATATTATGTGCCATTATTTCACATATCAAATAAGTTACAGTAAGTCAAACAAATTAATGAAGAAGTGGCCATCAGGAAGGAAACTTCTTGTTTATAAGATTCAGAGTCATCTTTAAGTGTCTACAAAGTGGAGATATAGTCAGTGAAATCATCTCATTAAGATAGGTATGGTTTGTTAACTCAGCTAAAGTCTAAAATATATACTATACATTATGAAAATTTTAAATACAAGGTTTTATGAGCAAGACAAATTCAACTTAGACCCAGAAACCCTGTGGGGGAAAAATAATGTTTCTGCATGTAGACTGTTTATCTTCAAACGCAGAGTCCATTTTTAAGAAAATTACCTTGAAGGCTGCTAGGCAGTGCAGGCTCAGTAAGGCCATCACAATTGCCAGAAAGATGGTGGCCAAGTTCCTCGTGTCCCATATGGTCTCCACCAGAGGAATACTGCCAACCTGCCAGTCGTAGCACAGGGTAACAGGTGCGAGCAGAAGCCACACGTTGAAGGCCAAGAGGTAGGAATAAGTAAGGAATCTACAATGAGAAGAAGAATCACTGAATACAACTCAGGATTCAGAGCTTTTGCAAACATTTACTCACCATGTTCTTGTATAATATTTCTATTCTGTCAATAGTGTATTCTTGTCACCAAAAAAAAAAAAAAAAAAAAAAAAAACCCAGAAAATATGAAGCCTTTCATTTATGTAGTTCCTGATCATCTGGGAATGTACACAACAATTTGTAGCCACTGTGTTGAGCCATGGCCTTTCACTGGTAAACAAGTAAGAGTTTCTGAGACATACATTAAAAGTTATCATGCATATACATACATTACAACTGTAGATAAACTCACTTAGGAAAAGTGTCATGAAAGCACATGACAGAATGCTAGCCCATTTGGGGTATGATTCCACTGGTAGGAAACACTAGAGTTGTCATTTCTTTCTTTCTTTTTTTTTTTTTTTTGTCTTTTCCTTTTTATCGGTACCGGGGATTGAACTCATGACTGCCTGCTTGCAAGGCAGGCGCTTATGCCGCTGAGCTAAATCCCCAGAGTTGTCATTTTTTAATAGCATCCATAATCCTGCAGTAGATTTGAGAGACATGAACAACCTCATTCATAGTGAGAAGGCTGGCCAAGAGGAGGGAAGGGGGCTGGTGCCTGGAGACAAGGGGAGCTGGGTGGACCCATGGTGGACAACAACGCTAATGTATTAATCCTTCTTCCGGCTGAGACTAGCAAGAGGGAGAAGTGGAGCCATCCCTTAGGGTGTAGAAGAAAGTATCTTAAATTTGTTCCATTATCACATCCATTAAGCAGTGTTCTCAAAGTCTCAGCTGACAACCACCACCCAAGTCTCCTTACTTGGAAACCAGTAACTCTCCCTTGGCTGCCAGCAGCATCAGGAAACCCTCCTGAGGTGACCCCAGAACACTCATTAGAAGAGCCACTGCCAACACTGCCAGAAAATCTATCCTGTGCTCTAGTCAACACTCACCATGAACCCTGACCACAGCATTTATATAAAAGGGGTTAGGATTGTGAGTTGTACCTCTCACAACTCAGAAATATCCTTCTGAAGAACTCAGGGCTACTCCTTTAACATGTAATCACTGAGAAGGCCACAGTCCCTGTTGGAGCACAGAGTTTTTAGCAACTGCCAGTCTGCAGGCACAGTGGCTTTGTTACGCTTGCCCTGGTGAGCACTCTGCAAGTGCTAAGGACTCTGCTCTGTGGAGCCCTGCCCGAGCCTCCTCGGTGGCCCTGTAACAGGCCTCGGGACCTCTGCACCATCAGATGAGCAGCCAAAGAGTAAAATCTGTTTTCATCACTTTTAATGATTGAGTTTATTTCCAATCCAGTACAGGGCGTTAAAGAGAAGAATTAGGTAACTCTGGGTCCCCCAGAGCCCAAGGTGGAAAGTAGACTGAGACAGGCTCTGGAGAGCTGTCCTCCCATTCGACAGTTTCTTGGGGGTTCCTGGATTGGCAACAAGGTCAGATAAGAGAGTTTCTCAGTTGCCACCTGGTGTTAAAAAGTCAGTCCAGCTTGGCTTCCGGTTGTCAGGTAGTTATCCCCAGATCTGCTGAGCTGACCTCATCCCCTTCCTGATTCCCCATCACTGCCCCTAGAGAATGTGGGGCCATCACTGTGTAGATTGTCTGGATGCTCAGACCTCAGCATGGACTGGGTGAACTGGTATGGGAATCATTCAGGCTGCCACCTGACACTTTCCCCTCTCCTGTAAATTTTAATAAAATGGCAAAGACTAAACAGTATTGTCCAAGACAAAGTCCCAAGGAAGGCTGTGCTTTGTCACATAACAGATACCAGTCTACTTTTCCCTCTATAGCTTGGGCCTGTCAGACTGTCTCAGGAGACTGCCTTTCCCACAGAAAGTGATAGTGTCACTGGTAGTCTCTATTGCACCTGCAATGAATCACTTCTGGGAGGCCAAGAAAGCCACAAGAGTCTTTAGATTCCTTAGCTACAACCCTCGGAAGCCACAGAGCTCCCCATCTTCTGACAGCTAATGCTAGAGGGACTTGTGCGCTAAGTGACATCTGCCTGATGGAGCCTACGCACCAGGCTGACTACTTGGTAAGGACTGTGCTTAGCAACACAGGAAAAACAGACAGCTGTTGACTCAGCTGCACTTTGGCTCTTAGAAATTACTTTTAACTGAATGCTGTGTGTACATTCCTGATTGCTCTGCTAATATCTCAATAGCCATTCAAGATATTAGATGACAAATTAATGACATGTCAGATTCCAAAACTCCCTGGATCTTATCCTTTTCCCCCTATGGGGAACACATAGGGAACTATGCTCCTCATAGTGGAAATCTTTATTAACTACACTTATAATTATTCTGTTGGTTAATATTATTTGGGCTACGTATGCTTAATTTTTCTTTGGCTTTCTCTCTCCAGACTTAAAGCTGTACAGCCATGCAAGATGAAACTACCTGGCATCTATCAAGGGTCTTTAGATAGACCCTTTGTAGAATATCTCTGACTGCCAATCAACAACTACACCCCTTTTCAGCCTGAATAAGCCAGATCAGTCATCACCCATTTTTCCCTCCCGGCAGTTTGGGGTACTTCTTCAGAGGGGGAAATGTTACAGGCAGCTGAGCTAGTCAGAAATATTATAGGCAGTGAGATAGGGCGAGGCCCTCGAAGAAGCCAACACAGAGGACCAAATGTCTCCTGATCTTGGAGGAGACACACACCTCTTGCTGTGGGCCAGATCTCAAAACAGAAGGCAAATGCAACCTTAAGTATAACCCTTAAGGATTAAGTCTGGATCACCTTGAGAAGCCAGGAGTCACCATCCCATCCCCCTAAAGAATCACTGGCATGACTAGCTTCCCCATTTGTCCCTTATTTGGTCAATTTTACCTGAACAATTAAACTTATTGGCTGATCACAGCTCTGTCTCACTTCATGCCCATCTGTCTTGTGAGTTCCCCAATAGACTCACCTTACCTCATGATTTTACTCTACAAAAATCCCAAGAAAATATAGAATATTTGGCAACCCACTTGGGACCCCTTTTGTCTCAGTCTCATTCAGAAGCTTCCTTTCTCTCAATAAATATATTCTACTCTTAAAAAAATTATTTTTAAAAATTCTTCTTGAAATAATATATGTAAGCAATGAACTCCAATGGGTGCTAGAATTACTAGTGGAAGAGCTGATTGTGTACAACATGGGTATATAATGGGTGGGTCTGGTTAAATCAGATGCCTAGAACTAATAATTTTAACATCACAGAAAGAAAAATAAGAGCCTAATGAACTCCCAAGGAAATAAACACATCTGCATAGTAGTCTTATTAAAAAATAAAATAAATAAACAAAAAAAATAAATGGATGGCCAGAAGTGGTGACATACAACTGAAATCTCAGCTATTCTGGAGGCTGAGTCAGGAGGATCACATGTCTGCGGCCAGGCCAAACAACTTTGTGAGACCCTGTCTCAAAATAAAAAATAAAAATGAGTGAGGATGTGTTTCAGTGGGAGAGTGTTTACCTAGCACACATCAGGTCTCAGGTTCAAGCTCCAGTACCACAACTCCCATAAAAAAAACCAAAACTCTGAATTGGATCAAGTCCTAAAAGTACAATACAGAAAACAATGGAATGTATCACATGACACTGCAGAGGAGCCACATGTGAACTCCAGAATGTAGGAACCACCAGAACAATGATCCAGTTTCCGAAACAAGAATATTACAACAGGGTTGGGTCATCTATAAACTAAAGGTGACTTAAGAGGCATCAAACAAGTATAGGTTGTGCTTAGAACCTAATTCAATCACACTATTATTAAAATTAACTGTTTATGACACAACTAAAAAAAAATCCCAAAATGCTGACTGACAATATAACTGGCTACAGAGAAACATCATTAATTTTTTAAGTGTGATAATAGTATTTTGGTAATAATTTTTAACAATTCCTGGCTTTTGGAAATATATAATAAATCTACATATATAAAGTAAGTTTATGTCTTGATTTCATCAGAAGAAGACTTCAGATTTGCTTTGAAACGATCAGGGTGACGGAGAAGAAAGGGGATGTGAATAGAATAAAAGGGCCAGGGCTTGTGATTTTTGAAACTGTAAGTGGGGGAGTGCTTCATGCCACTGTGTCTACTCTTACGCACATTTCATACTTCCCATATTAAACCTTAAGGGGGAGGGCAACAGAACTGAAAAATAATATTTTCTTAGCTTATTTCTAATTGCAGCTTGAGCAAGCTAATGAACATTTCTTCATTTTAACTCTACACTTAGCATTGCCCTATAGGTTGTCTCCAGAGTTTCCCGTTTCCTAGATGTTTTCCAGTAACATTGTACTGAGAAAAAAGGAAAAATAAGGATTAATATTTTTAAATGCTATGATTGTAATGTGTTTAGGTATTTCTAAAAAATTTCATTAGGTTTAAAAAGTAAAATGCATCAGAGAACTAAAACCAACTTTCCTTTCTTACAATACCAGGAAGATCAATACTATTTTCTGGTCTAATGGAAGCTCAGAGATGTTCCCTGTCTGCAAGTGCATATATAGATCGGATCATGCTGGTAATATAATCATTAAGTACTATCTGAAATACTTACATAGCACTGGAATTATCCTGCAAATCTAAGCACAAAGAAGACATTTGGAGTCACTCCAAAAGCTAATTACACTCTAGGGGAGGCCAGTTGAGCTAGCTGTAATCAACAACTAGAGCACTTCTTTTTAACACTGCCTTGACAATGAATTACATTCAAGCTAATCATGTTTATTTCTTCTAAAATTTTAGAACTGAAATAATTAGTGGAATGTCTCTGCCCTGCTGGGTTGACTGGTTTTTTAAAGCAAGAGCAAAAACAAAATGTATTATTTACTAATTTTCTACTATAAATTTTGCCAACAGCAAGAAAACTACTCAAATATCTTGCCAACAAAGTGGAATATTTAGCACAGAGAGCTACGAATTCTACTTAAACAATTTAGTCATGCATTTTCACTGATAAGCAG